TAAAAAAAAAAAAAAAAAACTCTTCTGGCAATGGGAACTCCAACACTGCAAGGGTTAAAGTGCTTTTTTTGTTCAGGGATTCTCTAAGGGCAGGTTCACACCATTTTCTGGACCAGATCTGGAACACAGTGCATTGAGTTTGGAATTTTATAATGGTCTTACAGGTGCATTCCATGCGTTTTGATGCATTCCAGACCAGACAAAATAGGACAAGCAGTATTCTTCTGGTCTGGAACGGACTGCACTGGTGTGAACAGAGGCCAGAAATAGCATAGGGATACATTAGGACGCATTTTGGGTCCTGAAACAATCTGATCTGGTGATGATCCAGACATGGTGTAAATGGGCCCTAAAACACCTTTATTTACCTGATCCCTACTCCCCCAGCGATCAGCACTGACCTTTCTCACCTCACCTCAATGGCTCATGGATTGTCCCTTGGTGTCCTCACATATAAAAGCAGAGCTAAGACATGGTGACATCAATGTGACGTGGGGGGGTGGAGATGTGGCAGGTAGTCTTGGAGCCAGCAGAAGTGGGGATCAGGTAAGTAAAAGTGGGGTTTACCCTAGGTATAGGCGGTTAACCCTTACAGTGCTGAAGTAGCCCCACTGCAAGGTGAGTTCATATACCCAGAGATAGGTTTGAACATTGCAGCAGAGAACTAGGAATGTGCAACTGTGTGTGTGTTTCTAGTTCTCAGAGCCAATCTCAATCAGAAATTAGACACTCTCCAAGGGAAATGTATCAAAACTGGAGCAGACAGAATCTGGAGCCCAGGGCAACCGATCAGCATCTCTCTTCAGTTTGCTCAGGTAAGATTTGACAATGAGACAGAGAAGCTGATTGGTTGCCATGCACAGCTGCTCCAATTTGAGATTCCCCACAGTGTTTATGGTCAAGGTAACTGACTCATACCAACCCTGCAAAACATGGTCTAGGAGTCTAAGCTTGCCCGGTCACAGAAGGGTTATTGTTTTGTATCACCAGCAGCGTTTGACTCACCCTGATAAGCCGGGTACAGAACCTTAACGATAACATCGTGGGCCCATCCAGTGTCAAAACTTCACCTATGAAGTGCTATCCGTGCGCTGCATGCTTCCTGCTAGGCTCCGCCTTCAAAGCTCCACCAATCACCCGAGAGAATGAAACTCCCCCATCACGTGCTGCACCACCGGCTTCTCAGTGCTCCAATGTAAAAGGTCACCTTGTGAGTGACAGTTCGGGCAGCCAGTGGCAGGCATCGCTGTGCGGTGGGGAGTGAAAGTTGACATCTAAGAGGGAAGTAGTCGCTGAAGATGTCTGGGCGCAGGGGCTCAGGCAGGGAGCGCAGGCCCCGCGGTGAGAAGTGCTTTGTTAGTGTACATGCCTCATGTACTTCACACCAAGGCCGGGAAGAAGGGAGGGGGGACCAGCTGCATGTGCGCTGTATTTTCATGTGGCGTGGCACCTGCGTAGAGGGTTTTGGCTGGTGCCATTTTCCTCCAGGAAACTTGCTGCCAATGTGATATAATGGTGACACATCCTGCACAGCACAGGCAGGGGGCGCTGTAGCTGCTCAAGGCGGTGCTGAGCTCGTAGTACAAGCAGCACCCTGCTACTAGCTCTCACCACGCATCTATTATCTACCCGGCATCTGCTGTACTGATTCTAGACTCCGCCTCCAGACCGTGATCACGTGGTCATCATTGATTTCAGGGCAGAGCTTTCTTGACATTGTTGAGGACGCCCAGGGGATGACGTCACTGACATCCCTGGGGGGGGGCCCGCAGTGTATCTATGGTGGGGTGGGATGCCATATGTCACCTTCCAGGGTTCAACTTCTTGGTACTTTCTGCGAATGTGTAATGCCATGTGTCACCTTCCAGGGGTGGGAATTCAATATAGCCTTAATTCAGCTTATCTGGTGGTATGGACCTTTTTAACCACTTCAAGACCAGATGTTCAGACCCCCTTCCTGGCCAGGCCATTTTTCAGTGTTCATCGCTGCGGTACTTTAACTGACATTTATTCGGTCATGCAACGCTGTACTGAAATTAATTTTATATCATTTTTTGGGGACAGATAGAGTATTTAATCACCACTGGGGTTTTTATTTTTTACTATATTAAGGAAAAATGATTGCAATTTTTGGGGGAAAAAAGTATTTTTTTCCATTATGTTAGGAAACAATGATTATTACTCATATTTTTGGTAAAATATAAAAGATGGGGGTCACGTCGGTTAAACAGACACCAAACATGTCATGCTTTAAAATTGCGCGCACCCACTAAATAGCAAAAAACTACCATACCCAAAATTGACCATAGGCGACGATTTTACAGCTCATCAGTTTAGTGTTATCAGTGATTGATAGCCCTAGAACTATTGCTCTCATTCCGACGTTCGCGATGATATGTAACGTGTGGCGTAATGGGCGAAATCGTCATTTTTGCATGTATGCGCACCCGGCGCTT